TTCCCGCCAATTTTACCGGCAGTAATGATGGGCACGGTGCCAGAGCACACACGCACACACACACGCAACACCTCTTGTTCCCACAATCGGCTGATGGACGGAAGTAGCGGGAAGCGAAGATGAATGTGTTGCGAAGAGGGCGTGGGCTTGTGGTACAGTGGGCATGGCATTCTGCTTGGCGCGTCTTTCTGCTTCCTATAAATATTGAGCTGCGAAAAGCTATGTATGTTCATTTCCACTCGCAGCAATATGTCCAGCCGTGGTAAAGGCGGAAAGGCGAAGTCGTCCGAGAAGAAGACGCGTTCGTCGCGAGCCGGCCTGCAGTTTCCCGTTAGCCGTATCCATCGCAAGCTAAGGAAAGGTAGTTACGCAGAACGAGTGGGTGCAGGTGCACCAGTGTACATGACTGCTGTGCTCGAGTATCTGGCTGCTGAAGTGCTGGAGCTTGCTGGGAATGCGGCACGCGATAACAAAAAGACCAGAATTAGCCCGCGTCACCTGCAACTGGCGGTGCGCAATGATGAGGAGTTAAGCAGATTGTTGGCTGGAGTGACGATATCCCAGGGCGGTGTGCTGCCGAACATCCAGCCTGTGCTACTGCCTAAAAAAACCGCTGAGAAGGCGTAAGCTACCTGTCTGGTTGCTTGATCCTCTCGTATCCCTAACGGCCCTCTTTAGGGCCACAAATCCATGAGTAATGCTTCTCTGGAGTATCACATTTGCAGCCTTTGAAGGATTTCGATTGTACATATGGTGATTATACAAGTGGTCTTCGAAGGAAATCCCAAGTGATTTTTGAAACGGTGCAGCGAGAGATGTGCTTTTTCTTTTCGGCGATTTTGCCTCTTCGCTAATTAGTATCTTTTCTCTGAATGTGCTGTTTCGGTTGTATAAAACACCGCTGAAATGATTGTCTGAATGTTTAGAATGCTTAAATGCATTGTCGATGAATAAATGTTTCAACAGGTGGTAAAACAATGAAGTTATAAAATAGGAAAAGGATGGCAGAGAAAAAAAAATTTCCCGATTTGGATTAAGTCCGTAAGGCAGCAAAATCGATGTGGACTATCGTGTTTATTTGTCAGTGAGTGAAATGCGTTGTATCACTGAAAAATAAGGCAACTTTAGAGCTGCTTCAGTTTGCGCATCCTGCTACAACATTGATGAACCTGTGAATCGTTTTTAGCAAGAAAGCAAGAAGTGGTTCAGGCGCTGCCCACGTACTGATTTACCTCGCTAGTCGAGAGAATAATTGGCGGTGAGTGTGAGCACACAGAGTATGAAAACCAGATTACGGATTATTCAGTTCGCATTATTTGGTCGACGAAATATGCGAAATTTTTGCTTTTATGCGTTTTTGCATATATGCAAATGCAAAAAAGCATATTGAAGTGAATCCGGTGTGTGTGTGTGTGTATATATATGTGTGTGTCTGTCTGTCTGTCCAGGTATTTCAACTCGGCAACCAAGCAAGCCCCGGCGTCAGAATTTCGCCAGTGGTCTCCCCGGCTAAGTGCCGCCTCAGGACCGCGGCACCAAGCCTCACTCACGTCTAGGCTTCGTGTACAAATGTGTGAAAGTTTTGACAGTAAAATCGCTAGTTCGGGAACCAAATAGAACTCGGAGACTTCAAATTCAACCACCAGATACGCGTGATTCTCGCTACGGCTCCGTGAAAGTTCCTGGCGGGAAAAGCGCTAACTCGGGAGCCAGAAAAGGGGGAGGGGTGCTGGAATTTTAAGATGTCCCCCTGATCAAGTAGGGGACGCTCCCCTCTCTTTGTACCTCACGTAAGAACACGTGGGAGTTGACGTGGACAGTTTTGCGACTTTTTAACAGAAGAATATAGAAGGCGTTTAAGCAAATGAGCGTGGAAGCAACTTTTACTCTCCTCCCGTGTCTCGCGTATGTCCCACGTGCGAACACGTGAATTTTGACACAACTCAACAACCGACGCAGCTAGAGCACTGAAATTTTCTGAACATAGGTCCCGATCATGTTTCGGCAGACGCGCATAAAAAAACTTTCATGTTCCCTCTCACGAGCGCATGAAATTTGACTTATCCTTGCAACCAGAGCGGCTGCACTGCCGAAATATTCAGGAACCCTTACCCCCTCCCCCCACGTCCTCTCGGCGTAAGAGTGTATAAAATCTGACGCTACCCCGCAACCAAAGCGCCTGGAATGCTGAAATATTCTGAGCGTAGCCCGGGGCAATATTTGGGAAATGTAAAAATCCTTGATTTCCATTCTCTTTGTTTCGGCTCGCTGATTTCTTGTTTGATGCCACTAGCAAAATCTTTTATTCATCATAAGTTAAAAGACAGAAACATTATAGCTAGTATGTGAATTATTTAATAAATATAATACATCTTAAGAAACAAAGACAATACAGTTGGCTTTACTAAACATTTTACATAGCACAGAGACTTTACTAAACATTTTACATGGCTCAAAGATTTTACAATTGGCAAAAACTTTATAAGCTGACGTCACAAAATTTTGGAACACAAGTTTCTCTACAAATCAAACAAAATTCTTTAATAGAAATTACATTTATATCCTCTTCCACTTCAGCCGCCTTCGAGTTAATTCAGACATCTCGAATTCCATAGCATTGTCCACTGCAGCTACCGCCTGCACTGACCATCACCCAGTCTCGCGAGCTGCACACCTGTAGGTAAAGAGCAGTGTGCCGAATCTCAGCATGTCGTCGAAGGCTTCATCTAAAATCAGAATTCATCATACTGCAACTTTGACAAACTGCTCCAAGCAGCAACTTTTACTTGGTGCTCTGACTGCAGCTTGCTGCGATGCTGGCACGAAACAGGACCAGGAATTCGTCGAAGGATACGCCCTACCAATGTTTCTTCGCCCGCTTAGTCCGAAATCAAACGTCATGGCACGGGGACGCCTCGGATTTCCCAAAGTCTTATGTTCTTTGCGTCGCCAATACCTCCTACTGCTGTAGGTGGGTAATTCAGATTCTTACTCATTTGTCCTAATCTCGTTTTCTTCTGTTGACAGTTTCCAAGCATGCCGATAATAGCAATAAATAATTAGAAACTTACTCGTCTCAGCTTCCATGTCATCCTCAACGGAAGGCTCACAACTGTTACAACTGGCGCGGCGCTCAGCGAACACTCTTCAAAGCGCGCGCATCATCCTCCTCCCTAAAACATTCATTACGTTTTTAACAGTAATTACTGGAACGTTGTTCTGCTCAATAAATTAGGAAAACAATTAAATGCACCTCCCTACGATTTCGTCTCAATTCTCTTGAACGAAACTCAGCGACAGTCGTAGTCGAAAGGGTCTGTTTTTTCCGCTTGCGGACAAAGGCAAAACATTTTGGTACGTTGTTCTGACGTCGTCACTGAACATACGGGCAGTGTTCAGCCCGCGAGCTGGCTAGCTGCGTGGAACTGCATCGTTTAGAGGAGCACAAAGGGGGAGGGGCACATTGTGCTTGCTACAGATCGAGTCAGCAAAACGATTCACGGGTCATGGTATAAGACTGTGCCCTCAGCACACTCTGAATACAGAA